AAGTCACAGTGCACGATTCAGCAAACTTCATTATTTTCATTAGTTAACTGTAAACGAAAGGTTGTTCAAGCAACAATAATAATCTTCTTGAACTACAAGATCTTCTCCAGAATATTTGAGTTCTGTTAACAAGCATTTGAACTTTTGTTTAACCTGGTGACTTATTTCAATACATCAAAAACCATCCCACCTCCCATCATGTAAACAGCCCCTGAGACGCATGTTCAGGAAGTAGGAAAAGTGCAATTTGAATACAAAATACCTTGCACAAGGTCAAAGGTCAGCTAAATATTCTAATCCTAATACAGTCAGTGGTGAAGCTAGGTCGTGGGTTCGATTCCCATCGTGGACAGGCATATTTTTCAAGCTTGCCCGGTGTGGATATACACTCAGAGTAACATCACAAGCATCATATTCACCTGAGTACATTACACCAACACAGAAAAAATCAAGGCCATGCTACAGTATACAAGTTTTTAATGATTTGCATTATTCAAATAGATCCAGGTTTATAGGTGCGGCATGACCAGTTGCCATTGTAGCTAGCTTGCAACTGAATACTGTAGAATATCATATTATATATAAACAATAATAATACTTGAATGAATCATTGGAAATGTAGAATTTAATAACAATTTCATATACAGAAATATTAAGTCAGTTTTTGAAAAATTAACGTTTTAATGGCACCTTCCAAGTAATCTGCAATCAGACCTATAAATAAATAAATAGGGCTGATACAAACCTTAACAAAAGATCATGCCTTACAATCGTATTTCGGGTGTGAATCCGATTGGTCTATGAGACAAAAAGATTTTTTAATCTGTCATTTGATTTGTTGGTACCAATTATATTATATTGCTGTTTATAGTGATCACAACTATAATTAGATTGTTGTTGTCCTTGTGTGAAAATTAAATTTCTCCTGCGACATTTTGATTGGATAATAAATATAAACTTTGCTGCACATGGGTGGAAAACTATCGGATTAAGGGTTGTGTCAGGGTATATTTGTAAAATAGAGCCTGATCATGATCTCAGGTTACCTTCAAAGCTACCCACACTACCATAGGAAGCAATTTTGTAAATTGGGAGGGCTGATCGATTAGTCTGGAGTGATTATTGCTAGTTTACAAATTATTGTTGCTACAACCCTGATCCCTAAATTGCAAAACAACTGAACAATCTGCTGATGCGGCGATGCCTGATGGGGAGACAAAATCTGTTTGTTGGCAGTTTTGTTTCATATGTCCGCTTCTGATGACATCATTCATTTGTAATGATCAAGATTGTACTCGGTCAGGACTGCAAAACTGTATAATGCAAGAAATTGTGAGCATTATAAAAAATATAGTATACCTGAACTGTAGTGACACAGCCAGGTGAATATATTATGCTAACAAGTAACAATAGACATACATCTCAGAGATATATTTGTACAGACCGTCATACCTTTTGACAAATGTCGGTTGACATGTTATTACATGTATAAACTACTGGTAAGTTAATATGTGCAGACAACAATCCACACTGGGTTGCTATAGGAATATCTTTCTACAAGTCAGATATTTTTTTGTTCGTATACAATTAATATATGTGTTCCAATGCTTGCACGATACTTACTGCTCAATTGATATTCCCTTAATAACAATATTATAATAAACTATCACTGTGATTATTTATACCTTGAAGTAAACGATGTTCTATCAAGCTCAAACAGATTTTTTACTCCATTTCTTTTAATATATGAAGTGTTGCATACTAGTGTATGGCACCGAAATTAAAATTTAATAAAAATATAGTTGATTCATTCGTTTCAATAGGTAAAATAATTCGACCAAAACACATTGTTATTTGTGATGAAACTTTCATCTTACGTACCTTGAAAAATATTTTCGATAAACAGCCAGACGCAAGAAAAATATTTCGATAAACAGCCAGACATAAATTTACAACAGGCAACGAGGCACATGTTTACAAATTGTAATCGTTCATGGAGGTGTTCGTGAGTCTCATCCAGGATTTTGGAAAGCCAAATCGCGATCTGGAGTATGTTATTTTTTAAAATTTCTGTGACGTCAAAAAACGTCATAAATCTGAAAATCCGTACATCCGTCAACAAAATCGAGTTGTCGTTCGGCTATACATAACTCGGCCAAAGAGACTGGACACACGTAAACGCAATACTTCATGTTAAGAATAGTGTGCTGCCTTCGGCAGCAATCAGTGGGAGGTCCACTCATGAACGATGCATAGTCACGCGCCCTCGTTTATTATATAGATTTAGAAAACATGACGCGACTTTAAAGACGAGTCACGTGAAAATGTCGTATACACCTCACGTTCACTTCCGGGTTTTAATCTGTGGCGGCATGTTAGTTTTTTCCAAGCAAATTTTAGTTTTCTTGTTACCTACTCATTCCTGTATTGTTTTCAATCATTTGTCAAGATATGTGCAAAAAAAGGCTATATATAGGCTACTGTAATACTGGGTAAGCGTTTCCTGAAGACTTGTGTGAACATTCAATAAGCTTTTCGGAAAAAGCCGTAGCCTATATTTCGGTATTTCGAAAAGTGATCACTTTGTTGAATCATTTGGAACAAATACAAAAGTTACTGGTATTGTTTCACGAACTAAATGCTTTAGTTTGTAGCCTATTCAATCAAGTTTGTCAACTTTTCGGTATAAATATTGCATCAGTGTTAGACTTTCCAAAGTCCGCGGTTCGTGGTTCCTGGAAGCGACGGACTTTTGCCACCCGCAAGCGCGCCAGATTCACCGGTGCATTTTTGCTCCGGTGACGTCAGTGAATGCTCATTATTACCATGAACAAAACAATAATGAACTAGTGAAATCGACATGGTAAACGCCCACCATTTTCGCGCCAAATTTTTCAGTAAGATTCAAAATCAGGCAAGTGACACAAGTCGCTCGCTTCCGTCTTGCTCAAGCGCTCCCTTCGTGCTACGCGCGGGCCCTAGCTAGCGACTTGGGCAAGTCTACATCAGTTATGTTTATATTGGTAAAATTAAATGCTGTTTATACGACCGTTTTTCACGCTGGAAAGCGGTTTTTTACTTGTACTACTTTTTTGCACTATTAGTCCAGCGCAAAAGTAAAAAATCATGCACTTTGTGAAGAAAGCACCCAATTCACATGAAGTGTAGACTTTAACATGATAATGAATCTTAGATATGGAGGCATCACCAAAATTGATGCTGACGGCTTAAAATTTAGGATTTCTTATATTCTCTTATTAAACTCTATTACTGTTTAAAATTGTGAAATTGCAGGTTCACATATAGCAAAAATTACTTGCATGATTAGAAAGCTTACAAAAAACTACATATAAGACTTTTAAACAGCTGATTGATTTTCCAAGCGGTTTTCCAGTTATTGCTATTTATAAAAACGTGAAAAATAGGCAAAAATCCCGCCAAAGTCCTGGACAGTAACCCTAAACATATTTTCAACCGCTCATAACTCCAGAGGAGTTGGAAAATCAAAGTAACTGCTTAAATGTCTTATATGCAGTTTTTTGTAAGCTTTCTACTGACGCATGTCATTTTTGCTATATGTGAACCTGCACTTTCACAATTTTTAATTGTATTAGAGATTAATAAGAGAATATAAGAAATCCTAAATTTTAAGCCGTCAGCATCAATTTTGGTGATGCCTCCATATCTAAGATTCATTATCATGTTCAAGTCTACACTCCCTGCGAGTTTGGTGCTTTCTTCACAAAGTGCATGATTTTCTCAAATATCTGTGCATATCCGCTGGACTATATTGATTGCATGTGACAGAGCAACTAAAATTGATTGAGTTTTTACTGCTTTTAAGTGCTTTTATTCTTCCATCTTCCCAAGTGTTCCTGATTTTAAACAAGCACTTGTTATTATAACTTCAGCTCAGTTCAGTTTGCTCTAAAATGTTTGTTTTGGTGAAGAACACTAGCGGTATTGAAGTGGTTATTAACAATGCTTGCAGTTTTGTTGATTTGTTATGGCGACAAAAGCATTTGTCGAAAATCAACACGTCCAAAATTTAGCGAAATACCACAAGAACAACCTTGTCAATAAAACATATTTAATTAGAATGATTAAACAATACATGCTACACAATTAAGGGAAACAAACAAACAAACAAAAAATTATTATGCATACTCTCATATTTTTTCAAAAGAAGTATATATCGGTGAGTTCTAGAGAGGACGTGAAAATTGTTGAAAATTGTATTTTCACGTCGTGAAATCGTCGAAGACGTTGCAACCCGAAGCTTGACAGTTGGCGCCAAATGACGACATCCGCGTCGTCTTTGAGCTCGCGTCGTCTTTGAGCTCGTGTCGTCTTTTCTAAATCTGCCTATTGATGAACTTTATAGACTTGGCTAATGCTTTCTTTCCCCCGAGTGTAAATAGCCGGGGGGATTAGTACCCTTGCCCCGGACTAATGCCATGCAAGAAGTAAAATCGAAATATCACTTATTTCCATCCTGTTTTTGCGTTCTCTTCCTGAATTCATAGCCTGCACAATACACCTATTCGGATTTTCCGTTCATCGCTGTCTATTTTAAACTTTCAGCATGTACGATTCGAATCATGCATGAGTGCGATGAGACTTTACAAGTGAACGAATTTTTCAAATTACGCAGTTATTAGCATAAAAAACACAAGCGTAATTTATTTGGACTAATTAATCTTTATGTACTGAATACTCCTACTTTATTACTCCGTACATGTATAAATGTTATTATACACACGTGTTTCATGTCCATGCAGCTGAGCAAAGCGATGTCTAACTTCGTTTGGGCACCGCAATGTTATGGTGATCGTACTAATTCTAGGTTTTAATATATCTTGATCTGTAAATTAGTTTAATTATACGGAGGGCCAGGAAATTTATCAGCAGTTTTACTTGCTGTCAAGTGCTACCCTCATGAAATAATAAAAGTTTTAAATAATAAATAACTCTACATTATATTCATAGAAAGCACATACCCAACAAGTGTAAGCGAGTTGCAGCCCCGGTAACGGTCATACCAATGACATCATAGTTCTTCAATACATTAACAGTGCGATCATCCAAGATATCCTGACGGTACTTTCCATTCTAGAACAGAGATTAATGGGAATAATCAATTAACATGGCCAAAAATACTGGGTGTCTCAAAATTTCACGCACAGTATATTCTGTGGGATTACTACGACTATATTGAATAGCTTATACAGGCTTATACAGGGTTAACAAAGCTAAGCATGCATTCAATGTATTGTTTGCCTTGTTTACGCGGAAATTCCTAATTGAAATGTGGGAGTATGTGGATTACTAAGTATTGTTTGCGTTGTTTACGCGAAATTTCTTCCTATATGCATGTCTGCACGTAAATATAATTTCCATTCTTTTATTGAGTAAACAGTTCTTGTTTTCTTCTTTCAAAATACAAAATTTTTCCTCTCAACATAAATTACATCGTTTTGATCCTCCCGTGTACGAAATAGCGGGTTTCAAAATTTCCCAATTGTAATTAAAAATCTTTTTTGTTATCGTTTTTGTTATTTTAATATCAATTGGCAAATTTTGAAACGCGCTATTTCGTATACGGGAGGATCAAAACGATTCAATTTATGTTTAGAGGAAAAAATTTTGTATTTTGAAAGAAGAAAACAAAAACTGTTTACTCAATAAAAAAATGGAAATTAATATTATATCTACGTGCAGACATAGGAAGAAATTTCGCGTAAACAACGAAAACAATACTTAGTAATCCACATATTCCCACATTTCGATTAGGAATTTCTGCGTAAACAACGCAAACAATAGATTGAATGAATGCTTTGTTACCCCACCACTCGCACGTTTCGGCAAAAACACATATAAGCAGCCCCCGGAAACTGAATGACGAACCATTGTTCATCAACAGACATTTAAACCATCCACCAAGCATTACAAGACAATTAAATACCTGTGGTTCCGGTTCCCGACCGACCCTATTTTTTTCTGCCGACCCAATTATTTTTTCAACGCGATTGACCTTGCGACTCTATTTTCTCCAGGTGGTTGCGGGCTGCTCATACAGCGTGCCAAAATGGCGTCTGTTGTCACAATAAATATTGAACCAAATTGCCTCAATTCGTCCATAGGAAATACGCATCTCTAGTTAATATTGATGTCGAGACTCTAATGCAAATCGCCCAGCAAAAAAACCGGCAAAACCATGAAAAAAATATTAAAAAAAAAAATTATTTCCGACCTACCGACCCTAATTTTTTCACGATATGAAACCGGAACCACAGGTATTTTTTACGCCCTAGTTACCAGAACGCTCTTAGACATAATAACTTTGACCAAGAATTTACGTACACTCAGGAAGCATCGCAACGGACACATAGGAATAGGCAACGCAACATAATTTGGTTCAACCCACCATTTAGCGAAAGTGTTAACACGAACATAGGACGGGGATTCTTAAGTTTAATTGACAAACACTTCCCACTACAGCACAAACTACACAAGATTTTCAACAGAAACACTTTAAAAGTAAGCTATATAGTTGCATGAACAACGTTAAGTCTATAATCACCAAACACAACGCACATATAATTAGGAACAGCCAATCGCAGAATACGGAAACTGACAACTGTAACTGTAACTTTGAATTTTCTTCATGAAATATTAACAATAATTTTAAGTAATGAAAAAATGTGGTAACAATTTGCTTTAAATAACTTTATGTTTTTTAAGTAATGGTTAATCTTACTAAAGTAAATTGAAAGTCTAAAATTTATGTAGTAGCGCATCAATAGTATTTGATTTGTCTCGTTTTTAAGGGCCTCATGTTTATTTCACTCTATTTTTTGTTTCGCTTAATGAATTTCGATTCGTATTTCATTTCTTTTACTATATGTATATAATTATGTACGTATGCATTTTTGCCACGTTTTAGAGAATTACTCTAGTTGAATAGTCGATAATACTCACTTCTTCGTACAAAGTTACGGCCTTGCTAAATTCACGAACAATTTTGTACTGTAAAGTGCAAATAAAATCCACACGTTCCTCGTCAGACAGCTCCCACAGATTGAGCTTTTCTTCAACGTCTTGCGCTGCATCTGAAATAAAAAAACGGAAATAAAGGTTGACATATGCTGTAGCAACAGCTGTATGCTGGATACAACTATACCTGAAAAATACAAATAGAATTTCGACGTCTCGAGCGAAGGAACCTTTGTCGGGAGGTTAGCAGCGTTGATTGGGAAAATATACATGTGACAAAAATAAACCAACGAACAGATAGATTTATTCTGAAAAAGGAAATCTGAACAAAAAATGGAAATCATACCCCAGAATATATTAATATACCCTGCGAGCAAAGTCCTCTTGTATTTCTTCTCGGCACGGCACGGAGAAGCGAGAGAGAGACTCTGCAGAACTTGTGTATAAATTCATTTGAGCATGCGCGAAGGTTGCTAAGCAACTGCTCATTTCCCAGAAGAAGATTGAATAAGTAGTTTCCGGTTCAGATCAAAACCGGTTATAAAACCAGTATCAAACCTGAAATTACACATAATTATCCAAGTTTTTGGATTGTCGGCTCCACAAAGAATATACACAAGTTCTGCAGAGTTTCTCTCGCTTCTCCATGCTGTGCCGAGAAGAAATACGCGAGGACTTTGCTCGCAGGGTAATATTAACATTCAAGTTAGGTGATAATTACAACAATTAAATATGAATTATAATAGCATGGAATAAGGTGAGAATTAGAAGATGATTGCTTGTGTCAAGCAAAGACAGATAAAGCTAAACAAAAAGGTGGACCATGCCAATTTTAAATCGAGGCACATTTTGTGGGTTATTATTGCCGAAATAGTTGTCGAAATTGAATAGTCACACGTTTTACATTGACTCACACCATATTATAAGGAATCGTGCCATTATGTGACTACGAATCCTGTGGTAGGGAGCTATGACTAGGGTTTCACGGATATTTCTTCTGCATCGAATAGTACGAGGATATAGGAAAAAATGTAAAATGTTTCAGGATCTTTTCTCAATATGGTAATTCGTTATTCTTACTTTGGATAATAAGTTCAGACCAGGGAAATTTTGCTGTTACCGACGAGATTAGACACGAAGAGTCTCTAGGAGTTGTAGATTGGGAAATTTGGAGGGCCTTCAAAAATGCATGCATGGTGTTTCAGGCTTAGAAACTCTCGTATTAACTGCAAATGCAACAAAAACAAAGGAAAGTGATCGACTTTTTGGTGTGGTTCGGATGGGATGAAGAAAATAGAAGCTAGCTGTAGGGTCAGTGGGCTTGTTGAACACGGAAGTAACTACTGCAATAAATTGCAAGATTCGGCTATCTATAAACATGATAGTGTGAATCTAAAAAATAATAGACTCGTCTCGCTGATCTCATATAAGCAGTGGAGCGCTGAATGAGACGCGAGAACTAAAGCTGTGCTAAGGCAGTCATCTACGTACTTACCAAGGCAATCAGGTATGAGATCAGTATCTTGACCGAAGTTCAAACTTTCTACAAACAAAAAATACCATGGTTAAGACTAGTTACTGAGGGTGAACATCTTGTTAGGGCCCCTCAAACCATCGTGATGCGGAATATCAGTGTACAAGGATTTAATATTCTAAGTGAAAATGAATTTTTCTGTGCCATTAAATTGCATTTTTGAAACATTAGAAGAATATGTTTGGTATCATATGTTAATGCAAACCAGGCCACTAACTTCCCAACGAAGGACCTTTGCTAAAACGTCAAAGTTCTGTTTGCAGTGTTCAGGTAGTTATATATCTGGTCGTTGTCATCACTACCCAAAATGACACCGACCGTTAGAGGTTGTACAGTATGTTCTAGATTGTTGGTAATGTATGACAAACGAGAAAGTATGCACGTAAACTGTTTCCGAAAAGTACTAAGTTAACTCCAAAGCACTACATTGGAATGACGACACAGGGGACAATCTAGTCCAGTGGGATTGTGTAACTGGTTATAGTTACCCAAACGAGGCACAGAAACCCATTCAATCATTAAACACATTATGTATCTAATGAATTTGCCGATATTGTGTTAAAGTTTATAAAAATACCAGCTACCCGGGTTCTTCTTGTAGAGAAATGGGATCTTTATATCGTCAGTCAATGGTTCGTTATCATCTAGGTCTTCCACTTGGCTTGACGTATATAAATCGTCTTCCATAATATCACCTTCGACAGCATCCTGCTGTCTTTCTCGATCTGCAACCTTTCTATCGATTGAATCATCTGAGCACCCTTCCTCATCCTTCGGTGACGATGGCGAAACACTGTAAAATTTGACATTGCGTCAATTCTATAAGAGTTCTGCGAAATCCTTGGAATTGACGAACTCAAGACCTATACAACAGACTTCAGTTGTGAAAAAGCCAAGACAGACCTATTTTCGTGAACTACCTGTTCTTACTCTTTATAAGGCCTGCTGAACCAGCCACCCGAGAAGGGAAACATAGCTAAATGAGATATGCATGCACTTTGTTCAATTTGCCTCCATATGAGAAACGAGTAGGTGAGCCCGGCTAGGTGAGATCTAACCTTGTGTTCGGTGTATGCATGGAGATATCAGTCAAGTGGAATAACATTTTCCATATGAATGTTTTATCCAACGAGACCGGGATGGATTTTTTTCCGGTTTTGACAGTGAAAGGAGGGAAATTTCAATCTTTTGATAAATATTAATTATCCCATATTTACTTTGAAAGCGGGTTTCTTCATGACTGGTTTCGAAACAGTGTGTTTTGTCTATACACTGAAATGTATTAAAAGCATATTTTTCGATAAATAACCATTTGAGACTCCAGGGTGTATCAAAATAAACGCAATTCATCTTTTGTGCTTAATAACTTTCGAAATACTATATCTAGTTGAACGCTTTTAGGCTTACTTCAAAGCCTCTTCTTTTCTCTTTCAAACAAACTATTATCCTTGTCTCCAATGCTAGTAATAATTGCACAGGAAAAGATTTAGTAAAACCTATCATTTTTAGTTGCTGTTTAAATATGCAAGTTTACTATGTT